CCCCAAAACCCCAAAACCCCATTATTCCAAAATCCAAAAATGAAAGAGATGATAAAATTAAAAGTTTAATCTAAGTTTTAATGATTTAGTTTACTCCTTGGATAAGCATAGGCTTAAATAAATTAAATCAATCATCATATGGGTACACAACAGTTTAATATCTTGATGGTCTTACATAAACTGGTCCCTCAAAATATTGTTCAACTTGTGGTCCTCCTAAGTATCTTTGAACTTCGATTTCATCGTCTTCTTCATCATCAGCCATTGCTTAAACGTTATGAACGGCTCCATAAATGTTTGCACCAATTCCAACGAGATCGCTGGCAATACCGGTAGCATGATTGAGATTGTGAAGACTGATTCCTCTCTCAACATGTGGTTAGTGGACAGCACCGTAGATATTAGCACCAATTCCAACAAGATCACCAGCAATACCAGTGGCATGTCCGATATTGTGAAGACTGAATCCTCTTTCAACTTTTGGCCCTGAGCCATAGATTTTACTTCTTTCTTGAGCATTAAACCTTTGTAAGGCTTATAGATATATAAGATTTGTCCTATCAAGTGCCAATTCTTGAATGTTTTGTTAAAGAGTATTAGCATCTGATGTGCCGACCATTGATCCCACTAAGACGGCTCCAGTTATTGATAAGTATTTGTTCATTTTTGAGAAGTTTGCTGAAATTAAAATTAATTTTATAAGTATTGTTAGTATTCAGAATTTATACCCGCAAAAGGATATTTTAGGATATTTTTTTATTATATTAAAATTATAATAAATATCTAAATTTTTTCCATGTGTAGTCCTATTGATACTTATTCTATCCAAGAATTGGAGGGGTCTTTTCTCGAAAATATTCGCCTTCTAGATGAGTATTTTAATTTAATTAATAATTATAGTAATATTGAGAAGCATTATGCTTAATCAAAATCATTTGAATCTTTTGCTCATCATTTAAACTCAATGAAAGTTGAGATTAAAAATATTTAAAGCAATCTTAAACAGAAAATTTAAACTTAAAAAGACAAAGTTAATTTGATTGAGTTGGCAAAAGAATTTAATCACATTGAAACAGTTCCTTTATAAAAGAATCAGGCTACCCATTATGAAACTTTGCCCGAATTGACTATTTTCTAGGATTATAAGCATGAATCCATAAAATTAAGAGAAAATCTCATTTCAAAAAGTTTGGAAATTATTTACATTCAACTTCAGCAAAACCCTGAATATTTGAATAATTCGAAATTAGAATTGGCCAATATATTGCTGTTTATTATTTCTGGAAAGTGCTATTCAAATTAGCTTAAAGCTTATGTTACTCTTATAGTTGCTAAAATTAACAGAATTACCCCTGACTATCTTTTAAAGATTTGCCCTGATCTGAGCAAACATGCCTTTTAAGTTATGCTTATACATTTAAAGAAAGAATATTTGAGTTTACCTTGCAAAAAAGAAACTCTCCAGTTCATCATAGACTTTATAAAGTATGATAAAGAAAATTCCTTCAAAAACATGAATTTAATATCAAAGTTCAGTTAAATGGATGAAGCCATTCATTATAGAGATATTCAGTTAATTCTTATAAAATACATCTATGAGTATATCAAATATATTCCTGAGAGTTTAATCATAATTCTAAATCAAAATTTGAGCAGATTTTTTAGATTTTTTGCTGTATCGTTCTACTAAATAAGTTGTCAGGCAATGACAGAAAAATAGAAAATTGAGTCTAAATCTTCTTAAGATGAAATCTTGAAATTTATTTTTTAATTGGCTAATGATGAGTCTTTTTTCCAAAAGCTGCTGACAATCTGTGCTCTCTCATAAATTATTCCAATAAGATCCTATCTTGATTTATTAGTATTCCTAAAGCTATACATAAGACTTTAGTAACAATAGAATCTAAAAGAAAGGACAAAATCAATCTTTAAATTACTGAGATCTCATATGATGAAAATCTTTAAAGAATATTCCTAAAATTAGCTACTTCTAGTTCGAAGGAGAAGAAAATTATCTTCTTAGAATAATTAAATTTAAGACAAACTAATTGATGCAAGATCTCATAAGACTGAAAATTTAATTTTACACTTGTTTGTGCAGTTTTAAATTGATCACATGGGAGATATATACAAATATAAGGACATATACTTGCTTGAATACTTTTTCTATTCTCTAAGAGATTATGTAGGACAGCTAAATCTCAACTGCATAGAGGAATAATTTAGAATAGTGATTAAGAAATACTACGATAAATCTGAGAGTAACAGAACTTAAAAGAGATAAACTATGGTGAATTAGATAAAAACATGTTTGGATGAATAATAGCCTGTGCTATCAATTAGACTTTGTTCAATAATCAAGAAGATCTTCAAATCTCATGCTAGTAATTTACCCATTTAAGATGACATTGTTGATTTAGAAAAAGATATAGAAATTGATCAGATTGTTTATTAAGAGAATACAAATTCAATAATGTAGAAGTACTAATGAAGCTTTTAATTATTCTAAACTTGAATAAAATGATATGATTAAACTTCTCCTTGAATTTAGTTTTAATCTAACCTTTGATAGTCCATATATTCTAGTCTCATGGGGTTTTGGGGTTTTGGGG